TCTGCACCAGCAGTGCGCTAAGCGGGCGCTTTCCAGGCACCCAATCCTGAGAGCCTGTGGGCTCCCAGCGCCCCACGAGGCTGGTACAATGACTGTGTTTCCCCGGGTAGAACCCTGAGCTGGTGGCCTGGCCGGTCCCGACCCCCCGGGGCTGCACAGGGCTGACTCACGTTGTAGACCTGGTTGGGGCCCTGCAGGTGCTCCGGGGCGTCTGCACTCCCGCTGAACTGGAGGAGGGAAGAGCAGAGTGAGCGCCCACCGGGCCGCCGCCGCCCTCAGTCGCCCTGCCCCAGAGCCGCCCTGTCAGCTGGACGGTTCCCTGCCTCCCGTGGGGACACGGGCGGCCCATGCTGGCCAGGTGACCTCAGGGCAGTGCCTCCCCAGTTCGGGGCCCAGGCGAACATTCTCAGGCCCTTCCCCCAGGACTCGGAGCACAACCCTCAGTGGGTGGCTGCACAAGGTCCCACCCTCTGGTGCGTCTGGGGCAGGTGCCCGCCTGGCATGGGCTTGGCGTCTGGAGGCCCTGCCAGGCGCACAGCCCACTTTCTGTCGCCTCAGCCAGAGGGTCCACCAGGCCTCGGGGCAGAGACTGGCACCACCGAGACCCGGCGGCACCGTTCAGACTGGAAGGCAGTCAGCACGCGCTGCTGCTCAAGTGGAGTTCCCCGCAGCCCTAACTCCAAACAGCCTCGAGGGGGGTGCTGCAGAGAACAGGGCTGCAGCCTCCCCCTCCTTCTCACCCCCAGGGCCCCCCCCGCCCCCGCTCCCCTCCAAGAAAGCCAGGCCCTGCGAGGCCCCAGCAGAAACCCTGCTCGGGGTCACCCTCCCACTTCCTGCCGGGACCTGCACCAGCAGCTGGACAGCGATCTGGGGAGACCTCAGGTCCCCGCCTCTCCGCTCCCAACTGCCTGAAGCGTAAGGCCACTTCCTGCAGCGGCACCTGACCCCACCCCACACCTGGGTGTCGCAGGTCAGAGCTCCTGGCTCAGGTGCTCCGCACCAGCATCTCCGGCCACTCTGTGGCTCAGCCCCCCGCCACCTGCCCTGCCCCCACCCCCCAAAGTGCACACTGGGCTGGTCCCTGCTTTGCCCATGGACACCAAGCCGTAGGTACCACACATGCTCGAGACTTTCCAAGACCAAGGCCCCTCTGAACACCCACTGAGTGGGGTGCTACCCACCTTCGCTCTCAGGAACAGGGCGGTGATGATGATGCCATAGATGAACAGGATCCCATCCAGCAGGTAGCAGAGCTTGGGGTCCAGCAGGCCGAAGCTCTGTGCCTCTGTGCCAAGAGATGGGGGTGGTCAGCCAGGCCCTGGGTGACAGACACGACCCCCTGGGTGGCCCCACGACTGGACAAGGACATCATGACAAGGGGGGCTGGATCTACTCCCCATCCTCCATCTGTCCCCAACCTCCCTCCCACCCCCTTGAACCAGCTCCTGGGGAAACCCAATAGTGGGCATGACACCTGGTGGGGCCACAAAGCCTGGACAGCCGGGAGGGAGGCAGAGATGGGGCCGGCGAAGCTGTCTGTCCACTGCGCTCAGGACAGCGGCCTGGGGCCACAGGGGCCCAGCTGTGCGCATGCCCCGTGTGGGCCACACACTCTGGAAGCCTCTATATGCCCATGTCTGGGTGGATGGCACCATCGGAATTCCAATGTGGCTCCCTGAGGCCTCGCCACGGGGACAGAACAGGACAGATGGTCGAAGGAGGGCATTCTAGCCTCTGACTTAATTAGAACTGCGACACAGTGGGTCTGGTGCTGGCTTCCCTCCCCTGGGCCCGAGGGCCTCATGAGCAGCAGACCCAGGAACCGCTGGTGATCCCCCTCCCCACCCCAACCGGGCAGCCTCCTGCTCACAGTCCTAGTTCATGGCCTCAGGCCCCTCCCCCCTCCTCCTGCAC